GTCTACTTTATATTATGTTTTTTCATGTGTCGTTATCTCTCTAGTTTGACGCAAAATTTTTAACAATTTGTTGTGAATGTGGAGGATCCATCACCGAAGAGGTCGGTCTCTGGACATGCTAATGAAGCTTTCCAATTTGGAGTCATAAATATGTTAAAAAAAAAAAAAAAAAACTGGTGGCTTCAACTTTCAATTAATCTGCAGTCTTTATAAATGCTTTGATAGTACAATTGGTATGTGCAAAGTTGCATGCTTGGTGTTAAAGCCATTACTACACCTCTTACCTAAATCCCTCACAGCAGTAATGGCAGTTATTGCGAAGTAGATTGGATCACATGACTTGCATCTCTTCACCAGTCCAAGGCCTTGTTTGGTGGTGTTCTTGTTTCACTTTTCACTTTAATCCCATATTGCAATTTGCATAGATATGATTTTTTCTATTACACACATGAATTTTAGTCCACTATTATTAGGATATAGTTGACATTTCTAGTATTTTTCATGTGCCAGCTATATATATTTATTTTAATTTTCTTAGAACTTTTTGTTAAGCATTTCCTGCCACACATGCTAGCCTAACTCGCTAATTATTTACTATTGACGTTCACGATTAGGTACGCGGACGGCTCGTCTGCTCAGGGCGTGTTCGGCAATGAGAGCGTCACGTTGACCCTCTCCAACGGGCGCAGGACGAGGCTCGACGATGTGCTCGTGGGCTGCAGCGAGTCATCCAATGGGCCCACCATCCAGGCTGCAGACGGCGTAATGGGCCTGGGATACAGCAATCACTCGTTCGCTCTTCGGGCCGCCACCCAATTCGGGGGAAAGTTCTCCTACTGCCTTGTCAACCACCTGAGCCCGAGGAACGTCACGAGCTATCTAGTTTTCGGGCCCCACGAGCAAGTCCACAATATATCCCTCAACCGGAGATTGCGGTACACGGAGCTTGTCCTGGGCGTGATCACCCCGTTTTATGCCGTGAACGTGAAGGGGATCTCGGTCGGGGGCTCGATGCTCGACATCCCGGCTGGGACGTGGGATCTGAGTGGCACGGGAGGAGCGATCATCGACTCGGGCTCGAGCCTAACGGGCCTGACGAGGCCTGCGTATGGGCCGGTGATGGGGGTGCTGAGGCGGGCCTTAGTGGGCTTCGAGAGCCTGGATTTGGATATTGGGCCGGTTGAGTACTGTTTCAATTCGACCGGGTTTAGGGAGAGTATGGTGCCGAGGCTGGTGCTTCATTTTATTGGTGGGGCGAGATTCGAGCCGCCGGTGAAGAGCTACGTGATAGATGCGGCCCCGGGAGTGAAGTGTTTGGGGTTCGTGCAGGTGCCTTGGCCGGGTGCATGCGTTATTGGGAATATAATGCAGCAGAATCATTTGTGGGAGTTTGATTTGGTTAAGGGGAGGTTGGGTTTTGCTCCGTCCCCCTGCACTTAAATAAAGGAGTTTTTTGTTGATTTTTCGTGTGAGAAAGGTGTGACAGACAGGGCAGTGTAATTTACTGACGTCCCTCTTCTTATTCAATTTTATTTTATTTTATTTTTTTTTGTCAATTTTTTTTTTTTTTTTTTAATTCCTTACCACAGTTTCTTTCGGTTCATGCCGCGAGCAAGCAACGTCCTTTGGTTGAAGTGGAATTCCATTTAAATGTTAATTTTCCTTCAAGTTCAGTGTATAATGTGTAGTGTTTTAAATTAATGTCGCGTAATGCAACACGTTTCACATATACCGTTGCCTTTTAGAAAAATTAGTACAATAGTATTCCTAATACATTGTTTATGTTAGAATATCACTTGTTGAGTTGTCCTACATCGTTCGTACAACCGTATATGAGTTTGGGCTTTCTTATTAAGGACTCACATGTGATATTATAAATGTATTATTATGTTATTATGATATGTTTATTTTTGCATTATTGATTTTAGTTAAGCTAACAACAGAGGTCATTGTTGATATAAATTAGGAGTTATATCAATACAAGGCCCGGAAGATGGGTAAACTATCAATGTGAGGCTTGAAAGATTTTTTTTTTTTCTCAATTTGGGACTTAAATGTTATAAAACTATCAAATTAAAGACCCGAAAGATGGGTAAACTATCAATGCGGGGCCTGAAAGGTTTTTTTTTTACAATTCGGGACTTAATTGTTATAAAACTATCAAATTAAGTCTAGAATTAACAAAACTCATAACACCATTAAATTTAGAGTTAAAAAAAAAACAAAAGATTGGTGTTTAAATTAAAAAAAAATATAATATTTAACCGTTGATTTTTTATTTTAAAAAATAAAATAAAATAAAATCAACTGCGACCCCCTTCTGACTCGGAACCGACAATTTAAAAATGAAAAATTAAGATTCGGCACCGACCCTGAAGGGCTAAAGTTCCGGTTAAAAAATCGGTAAATTCGGGCCGATTTGAGGTCGGTCCGGGCTGGGTCATCAGGCCGAGTCGACCCTGGTTTTCTAGTCGCTAGCTATGACGTGCAAAGCGTGTTCATCGACACCGGCAGCTCAGTAGTCCAGTTTGATCAGATGGACCTGGATGCCATGATCGATCCTATTCATACAATCCTTTACGTGTTTAATGGCAACAAAGTCACACCAATGGACGAGGTGCGCCTACATGTGGCATTAGGAAGGCTGCCCCTCAAGAAGGTGAAGATGGTAAGATTCTTGGTAGTGAATGCAAGCTCGACATACAACCTTATTTTGGGTCGACCCAGTCTCAATTCATTTAAGGTTGTAGTCTCAACCTATTGCACGAAGATAAAATTCTTGGTTGGGGACCAGGTTGGTGAGGCGATAAGAGACCGGCAACAATCTAGGTCATACTACGAAGTCATGTTGAAAAATTCAAAATCCCAAGGAACGTAAAGAGGTCAGGAGCAGGACCAGCCCGAGAGCTCGAATAGAGAAAAGAGGAAAGAGAAGCTGGAGATCTCCTCCCAATACGAGCTTATGAAGATCAAACTTATAGCTAGAGAGGGAATCTGAAAAGGTAACAACGGTAGACCGCCATTTTACAACGATACTTGCACAACCCACAGTGGCGGAGGAAACAACAACAACTCACAGTTCAACAACAGTGGATCTCAGGTTGGGTATTATGCTAATATCATCACCAACAATGGAGTGGCAATGTCTAAAAATTTGCAAGGCATAGGATGGAATCCTGATTCAAGCGCAACTAATCATCTTAACTATGATCTAAGAAAGTTTTGTGGCATGCTACTCGCTTTCAATGAATTATGTTGCAAATTTTGAGCTTTACAGTTCGGTTGGAGAATGTATTAGATGAAAACTTCGATTTACTTAACTACTGGTTGGATAATTAAAAGGTAAAAATTTTGAGTTACCTAACTACTGATTGTCCCTTTTTAATGTCAATTATTAAGATATATTTCTAATAAAATATAATTTTATCCTTTTATATTAGCGTGATTTATTTATTTATTTTTTAAATGGATAAAATGATATTAAACTGAGACACAATGTCCTCTTTCGAATACACCAAGTTAGGTGTTGGGTCGAGCAGAGGCAGTGTTGGGTATTTCTGGCTGGTTGGGAGGACTCTAGTTTAATTTACGTATTAGGTTAGTTTTTTTTTTTTTTTCTTTTTTTATTGTATTTTAGGTATTTTTCTTTTTTATTATCCTACTGGGTGTCACTTTCTCCCGTAGTAGGAGCTTCTCTATTCTCCACTCAAGAAGCTTGTCTCTAGTTTTTAGTGTTTTATATTTTTAGGTTGGTTCTAGACTACTCTTCTTGAAATCCTCCCACCTAGATTCAGCTTATGACTGATTTATTTGGCCGAGTAGGTGTGATCCACTGTGCATATACTGTATTTCTGATAACCAAGTTTAATAAAAAATAATCACCAAGGTGAGTCAAATAGTTCTTTTAAGTTCTTATACTTTTTTGGAGAAATGCTACAGTCTCGTTACGAGACTATTTTATTGAGATTTGTAACTATTAGATCATCATGTAACCATCACGAATAGTTGTTTTAACGGTTATAATCCCAACGAAATGGTTCCGTAACAAGACCATATAATCTCCATTTTTTCGTCGTTTTTTTTTTTCGAACACATGACGTATCTTTAGCCGCAATTTTTTTTTGTTGTTTTTTTTTTTTTTAAATGAAGGGGCAAATTGAGAAAGATCTCCAACCTTCCGTCCTCTTCCTCGGAAAAACCATCACCAACAAGGCAACAACATAAAGGAAACCATTTCTGGAATTTTCAAGAACCAACTCAAATTTTCATATTCCAAACCATCACACCTTTATATATATAAACTCATCCCATCATCTTAACTCATCCTCAAACCAGACAAGAAACACTGATTATCCGCTAAACATTAAGCTCAAAGAACCATTTATAATAAACCAAAGTTCCGAAACAAATGTCAACATTCGCACTTCGATCTCTTCTTTCGGACCCATTCTTCACGTCCGGCCACGTGCTCCCGGCCGGGCCCGCAGAACCTGTTGGGCCCATGGACTGGAAAGAGACCTCTGCAGCCCACATCTTCAAATTTGATCTTCCGGGCCTGGCCAAACAGGACGTGAAGCTCCAAATACACGACGACCGGGTGCTGCACGTGAGCGCGGACTTCAGAGATGGCGATTACTGCCAAAAGAGCGAGAATTACAAGTGGCACTGTAGAGAGAGGCCGGCTGGCGGGAGCTTCTGCCGGGAGTTCAGGCTGCCGGAAAATGCTCTGGTCGACGAGGTAAAAGCTTCAATGAGCAATGGAGTTTTGGTGGTCACGGTGCCTAAAGACCAGAGCAAGAAGAAAAAGCAGGGGAG